GCTTCTCATGATCCACGTGATAGATCTTTCCAGCTGCTCGAGCGCTCAGTTTTTTGTCATTTTGCATAGCTTGAAGGGCCAATATTACTTGGCTTTCATCATTTTTCTGACGCATATTTGGTTGTGGTGATATTTGTGATAGAAGTCAGAAGTCACGTCGGAGCAATTTCGTGTGACATTCGCCCGTGTGTGACATTCGCATGTGGGTCACGTTACAGCAAACTAGACAAAACAAAAAAGACGTGATTGCTAACTGCCTAAAGTCCTCCTGTGACTGATTGTCACGAGCTTGAACCAGTAGATACTAATGAAATGATATTCCTATCTAAACCGGTGTAGCCATCGACTAGAATATCGAATCTGGAGAAGAAAAGAGAAGAGACAAATCTATTTACACGAAGAAGTCCTATATGGTTGTGTGTGGCCTCGCTAAGCAGCTTGTTTGCCTTGGTTGCTTCCATGGCATTGTTTGCCGTGTTGATTATGTTTGCTGATGAAGGCGCTGGGCTGAGCCGTTACACCGATATAAGAACATTGGATATTTTCTTCAAGCCAAATTCCAATTTATAGGGAAATCGGCCACAAGCCCCCAATTTCCGAAGCAAATCAAAGACATCTATAGGTAGTGGGAGTAAGCAGACCATGCCAACTGCACCTGGCCGCGGGCCACCAGCCCCATTGAGGAATAGGGCATGAAGCTTCCATATTCTCAGTTGACACTGGCGGTCCATTGAGAAACCTTGAATGTTGCTGGGCCACCAGTGAAAGGCTCAGTTCCGAACTGCAGGTCTTCACATTGCCCTTATTAGTGACTTTGCTCGTGTGCGGGTTAAGGTTGTGTGTCCTTACTGGTCAAGTACTGGGTAGAAGCAGGGAACTTCTGCTTAGATGTAAGGTATTCGAAAAATGGCTTAATGTCTCCTTTCCATGAGTTTATCGGGGTTGCCGAGACGAAGCTGTACGTTTTTTGCTCAGCGCCTGCCTGGATGGTAGTGCCGTACCACAGCTCCCAAGTATGGCCTTCAATTGTAGCTGAATCAATTTTGGTGCCAATGGGCTGGATAGTGCCGTAGCGTGCGAGCCTTGAAAATGAAAACGCCGGTTGAGTCAGTCTATTAAACTTTCCTTGTTGCACAGGCAATGTAGAATAAACTGCTTCAGGAGTGATCAATTGATACGCACCAAATCATCAGTTCATAATCGCCGCTTGATGTGACGTGATTCTTGTCCGCAGCGGTAAACAGGTCGTATGCCACATCAGTGTTGACTTTAGTGTTATCTTGTTCCCATTCGACGTTGGTGGGGATGCTGCGAACATCGCTCACGAGCTTCTTCTCGAAGTTGACTCCGGAGTTAGAATAGCTTTTCACCGTACCTTCGCCACCGCTCCAGGTCCAGGTAGTGTGCCATGCAGCGCCCGAGCTAGAGATGCTGTCAACATAGACGCACTGGGAGCCGGTTCCCTGGTCCTTTCCCCAGAGGTTGTTGTTCACTGTGTATGGAGGGTTCGAGACAGTATCATACTGTGCACACAGCTCCTTTTGACTGAATACTGTGGCCACGAGGGAGGCAAATACCAAAGGAAGCTTCATAGTGAAAGTATAAGTGGCGGATCAATCTGTCGTAACTAATAACGTTGCAGGCCTGATGGATATTACAGGCCTGGGAGTACCGGCCAACGCTGTTTAAATAGCACAGAGTGGGCATGCTGCTGACATGACGGAGGTCTTGCAAAGCTTTACAGCCCACAATACAGAAGTGAATGATGTCCAGCAGTGGTAAAATTGAGATCGACACGTTTCCTGTGCCTTACAAGACATCTTCTTTCGTCGAAATTCACGGAAATGTTGAGTGTCAGCGATATCCGTCGGGATCGGCAGTAAACGTAGTATATAGACACGGTTTATAGGCCCGAAATACCGGCTAATCCAGCTACTCTTTAATGATGATTGGTAATGTCTCGCCATGTTTGTTGCATATTTAGGCCCTACCTCCTCACCTTGAGAAGCAGATAGCGTATCTTTACTCCGGTTTTGGCACCGTCCTCGGATATATTCCTGCCTACGGCATGCATCTCCGAACTAATCATGTTTCTTATCCTAGTCCATTCCAAACTTCATCGTGTTTAGGAGCATAGATAAGTCTCCAATCGTTCTTCGTGGCCATGGGAACAGCAGTACAAAAAAAGCAGCACGGGACATACAACATGCGGAATAACATATCAGGATGTGTAGAAAGGCGACGATGTACATAGCGATCACCGCTACAGCGGCTTACCCGGCCGCCCCGCAGGACCTGCCGCCACTCGGCCTATAGGGCTGACAGATGCGTGTATGAATAATAATAATAATAGTAATGTAACCCACAAGCGGACCACGCACACAAGCGGGTCGCGCATCTTCGTATTGCATACTAAATGACCCTTTTTCTGACCTCGATATCTCAACAACCAATATATGAAAATGGACAATTATTAGATAAACATGAAGCTATATATTATGAAAGTAAATACTCGAGATATATACCCCTTATTATGATCCAATAGCCCAACAATACCGATAAATAGACAAATACAGATCAATACAGCTGTAATATATGATACCTGAAGAAATACATACTTAGAAGATATACCAGCTTAATGTATGCAAGTATACTACTTAAGAATGATTTCTCTAGCAGTCCCATGTCTCCTAGAACTGTTATTGTTGATATATCAAGGTTAGAAAAAGGGCCATTTAGTATGCAATATAAAGGTGCGCGACCCGCTTGTGTGCGCGGTCCGCTTGTGGGTTATGTTAATAATAATAATAATGAGTCTCCAATCGTATCTCTCATATTCTACTAGGATGTAGTTCAACCGGAAGAATATCGGAAATTATCAAAGCCAGGACATGAGTATGGTATGACAAAATGGCTGGGATCTCCTTCACGTGCATTGCTGAGCCCCGACACTCGGCACCCCTAGATCTCGACTATACATGTTAGACATAGAGGAAGTTATTATGCTACTGTACTATAGGAAAGCTGTAATTAAGCTACCTGCCAGCCTGCAGGGGATCAAGACATTTAGAGATACTTGCTCATTTAGCAACAAACTGTATCAGATAAAGTTTATCTGTAATGAGTGGAAGGACGCCACCAAAGGTGGACAAGGCCTACAAAGCGTAAGCTAGTCTCCGTTGAACTAGATCCAACCCTTACTGCAAGCGCGTTTCATAGGGGACTAAAGCTTGTGTTCAGCAGTGAAAAACAAAGCTGTATTGCCGACGGGATCTTGGCACACCAACGAACCTTATCTAGATGGTCTATGAGGCCGTCACATCTATTGATAGCCCATACAGATTGGAAGGGTTTGGCTAAATTGCTGTAAATGCCTCTTTTAGCAGCCTTACCCCACCTTTGCTAAAGGCGGGGTTAGCTGCCAAGCTGGCCCGTCGGCCGTCTATCCTATTACGGAAATTATTGCAGGGCGCATCAACCAGGGTGAGGAACTAGTCTGATTCAGGGTCCTTCAGGGCTGTTCATTCATACATGGTTTCTCTGAAGTAGGACTAACTGTGATAATAGCTACAGATCTTGACAAGATACTTTTAACATGAAAGCCATGGCTACTCCTCTTCACGATTCTTTGTCCAAGAGGTTTGACGAGCTCCTCCGTCTCTTGGCAATTTCTGTATCCTTACGGTGCCATCCTGCAACAGCCCCAAAAGTCGACTGTTTTTTATACAGGGTTCATTAGACGAAGGTATGAATCAGCTACAGTTTTGGGCTCTACTGGCAGCGGCGATTTGCAGACTTGCATGGGGTGAGGAAATGGAGACTGTACATGTTTTGCGACAGACTAATATCCAGGAACTCTGTTTCTACATAGGCAAAAATCTCCAGCGGTTAAATCATGCAACAACATAACCACCCCTAAATGCACACCCTTTGTCACAGAGTTTTGTGGCTCCTATCTCAGGGTTGCCAGCTCCACCGTCAATTCTGAAGTCGTATAGATGCTCCAAATGAGATAGGTTATTAATTATCACTTGAGTGAGGGTTTTTGCTTGTACATAATGCACTCCCCAATGTCTTAAAAGGATCTAGACTTCCGCAGAGTCCATCAATGCAACCCATCTAGAGCCTAGAGGTGAGAGGGTAGGTGGCATCGACTCGTAAAGCGGGTCCCGCCACGTTTTAGTGTGCCAGAGTAGTTGATTTGACCGATGGTCTCTCGGCTTGGCTAACTATATGTGAAACGGATAAGCCAATAAGGCGGTTAACTCCGAGTCGGGGAAGTCGGGGAGTCGATTATCCGCAAGATCCAATTACAATATGTTACTGTAATTTAGTGAGATCGACTTCTTGTCGCACCCTCGTGATGGCACCTGTCACTCGCCTCTCAGCCAGAGACCGCACCCTAGGCACACCCCAACAATGGGATAACAGCCTGATCTATAGCACTGCCAAACGGGCGGGAATCCGCAAACGACTGAAACCAGATAAGCCAGATAAACAGACAACCCCAGTAGAGAGCACCCCAGATGAACAGGTTACAACTCTGCCAACCTCAGTGTCACCAGACACGGACATGGATATGGACATGGATTTGATAGATCATCCACCACCAGCTCTCCCAGAGCCCCGGAGTCCGGATGGGCAGCTGGACCATGAACTGACAAGACATGTCAGTAATATCCTACAAGCCCGGGCTACGAGTGAAAAGCAAGAAGATGAGGACATACTGGAGATTCTATCCCTACTAGATGAGAAGATCTCCTCCATGAAACAAAAAGAACAGCCTAGAGCTTTCTCCTTTGGCAAGGCTCTGCACACATTTGTGCAGAGTTTTTTCACCCAATCAACTGCCAAGGTACAAGACCAAGGCCCCACAGTCAATCAAGCCCCAGCTAGCCGCCCCCAGACATACGCAGCTGCCATTGAGTCCAAATCAGACAGCAAGACCACAAGGAAATCTTATACCACGCCCCCTAAGCTAGGAAGACCTCTCCGCCTTTTCCTCCGGCTCCCAACTGATCACCCTGCCCGGCAGGCCAGCCCGTATGCAGTACTACAGAAGCTGCAGAATGATCTGGGCCCAACAGCGACCAACACCATAAAAGAGATTCAACATATTCCCACAGGGCTTGCAATTGGGCCTAGAGACACCCAAAGCGGACAGATCCTGCTCGACAAGAAGGAGGAAATACAACAGACAATCCAGGGCTCTAATGCTGAGCCAGAACAGAAGTGGGCCATTTTTGTGATTCCAGGAGCTACTAAACAGTATACGGCCTATGATGGCTCGGCAGTTGCAGTGTCAGAGCAAGCAGCAGAAGAGGAATTCAAACTGCAGACTGGCACCTCACCCCTTAAGCTACACTGGTCCAGAAAGAGCCATATACCTAACACAGATAACACAGCAACAATTGTTCTGGCAGTGCCAGAGACTGCTGCCTCAAGAATCCCACATTGGATCCATTTCTTTGGCAGGAACCTCCGCATAGTACACAAAAACATAAACCCCAGAATCCAACAATGCACCCGCTGCTGGGACTTTCATAGCCCCAGGACATGCACTCGACAACCTAAATGCCGACTGTGTGGGAAGAAAGACCACACTGAAGAGAACCATGAGGCCCCCACACCCTGCAAGAACACCCACCAATGCGCAAACTGCTTAGGTCCAGCTCCAGCAGACCACAAGAACTGCCCTGTACGCCCCAGCATCAAGCAGGGCATCTTGGTCCGGGTACCCAAGACTCAAATAGCAGCCATTCGACGAATTGAATCTGGCCAGCAGCAAATCCCGCCACCCAAAAACACAGAGGATAGCAACCAGACTAATCAAACAAATATGAACCCCACCTCTGAAGACAAAGACCCAGAAGGAGGCTCCAGTCCCATACCACCCCAATGAGATATGACAAAACACTCCCACAGCTGCGGATCATCCAGGTCAATGTGGCCCGGAGTCCCTCCCCTCATGAAGCTGCTCTCCAACTTGCTTTTGAACAAGACTACCATGTCATTCTTATCCAAGAGCCATGGGTTGTTATGGGGTTCTTGTACGAACCCAAAGGATGGCAGTTTGGCTAAGGCCAGCACAGAACGCAGCCAGCAAGGGGACCGAAACGACTATTGACGACCTTCGTACGATCCCCTTACATGAAGACTATCGGTGACCTTTTCGGTCAACTCCTGACCTCCGAGAACACTATTTGGAATCTCATTCCCGTACGACCATAAAAGACTGCTCCCACCTCTGCCCTGTTTGTTTCTTCTTCAACGATTCCTTCTTGTATAGTAAAGGGTAGCTTTAGGTTAGGACAACTTGAGTTAAACCCCTAACAGCTGGAAGGTAGTTAGCAAGTACTTACGACAGTACTTCCGTCGTGAAGATAATGGTTCAAAAATACCGCATTCCTCTGGCGGTATGAGATCCTTATTGAAAAGATCTTCTAGAAACTTCAAATCAAGAGTTGTAAAGTTCATAATACTTCCTCGGTGGTGTTTTGTTTGGAAAACCAGTATCGTTGATACACCCAATATAAGGAGTATAACTCCCATCAACATTCTAATAAGTTAGCAACTGGCTTTCAAGTGCTTGTTAAGTACTTGCCATCCGCTGATGATACCGAAAAACTGGTTTGCACGTTGGTAGGTTTTCTAGGCATGCATTACCAGTCTGAAAATACCTAATTTCCCTCGGTAGAAGCTTGAAATCCTTAATAAGTACTTGTGAAGTGGTTCAGGAGCACTTGCTTACCTATAGGCATTCCGTGTAGTTGGTTTAGCGTCTGCAAGCCGGATATCTTGCTGATATTTTCGAATTTGATCCCAAATATCATCATCTGCAGACGTGTGATGATACGATGCAATATATGAATTTAGGTATTCACATGCAAAGATTCCGGAGCATGTCCAGGTCCATTCCTTTTACTTGAGAGTTCAAAAATGGACAGTATACAGGCCGTTTCTGGCCCCATTTGAGTTTTTTTGCATATTGAACCTAGAATGAAGTAGTTAGCATGTACTTGGCAAGTGGTTGGTAATTACTTACATTATGGGCTAGTTTCTCCATCTCTTCCTGTGAGCGATTTCCAACTGCTACTACATAAGTGTATCCATATATGAGATGCTGGATACTCAGAGAGATCCTGTATTTACTCAATATGAAGCGAAGTAAGGGAGTTGTTGCCTTTGGCCTGGGTAAGGGGGACAGGTAATATTGTCGGAGCCTCTAAGTATGTAGTAACTGCTCGCCAACTACTTCCCAAGTACTTGGAAAATCATCTTACCTCCTGCTGCTGCATAGCTTCACTATTCTCACTTGCTTCCATGACTATTGGAGCAGAAGCAGTTGCTAAGCGGTTATCTTGCTGACTTGGTTCCTCTACTGTAGTAGTTGAACTTGAGATAAGGAGCTCACTAGGATCAACAAGCTCAGTCAAGTCCATAGCAGCAACCAGTTAATTAGCAGTCGGCAAGTAGTTGGTGTCCTCAAAATTTTTCATCATGCGGAGAGGAGAATAGAATATTAAGTTTTGATTCAATACAATACCTAACGAAATATCTCGCTTGGGCTGTTCCTGCTGCGTGTGGAACACGACTCCTGTACCTTGGATTACGAACGCCTGCAGTTTCCGAGGTGGCCTGCCACAGGCCGTCCCGGCGGTGCTCTATTTCTGCCACCCTTGCATCGTCCACGAGCGCAAGAGCATTGGTGTGCTTTGTCACATTTCGAAAACGTGGAAGACATGGTTGTAGCGGAGGATACGGAGCGCGCGGGAGAGTGATTCTGTGCGTGAGCGGGACATGCCCAGTGCAAGCACTTTCATCGAGCGGTTGTGTGTGCGCTTTTGGGGCGACAAGAGGTAGTATACATGCTGCTTGATCAGGTCCATGGTGGGTTGGCGATTGGTGTCTCAGGTGGTTTGGAGCTTGCTCAAGTGAGCGGTTGACTGTGCACCTTGGTGATATGACTTTATAAACCCGTCAAATGCTTTGGGGGCTATACGCGCATGTCCTTCGGCACAGAGATTCCAAAAGTTCACCCCGGGGCCGTGCCGTTGCCCAGTGCGCTTTGGACAGGGGATAACATTGTTTAACGGCTATCGGCCCGACTAAGTCTACAATGGTGTGACTATAGCGATGTGGCAGGGAGGTTCCATTGGTGCCCACTTATGCATCTCATATATTCAACGAGCCATTTTTTCGCGTCGTGGTTGGGCCGACTTGACCGGCAGTTTTAGCCGCCGCGCCGTTTCTTGTGATTGTCCTTTCACTGTCTCGTGCTGGTGTGTAGTTAATCCAGACCCGAGGCTTCAGTTCTACAGAGTACAACCAATTGGCAAACTGCAGTACGGCAGAGGATTGTGCTGTGAGTGCATTATATTCAGAAACCCGAAAGGTACCCGCGGGACTATACCTATACACAGCAAGCTAAGATACAAGGAAAGTACATCCCCATTGCTCACCTCGACTTGAAAGAGGCCAAACTACTGCAAGCGCAAACCGTTATGTTAAAGGACGCCCAGTCTCCTTTTTAGTAAATTTAACAGATTGCCGCAGTCGAACACGAATGAAAAGAGGAACGACAAGAGCCAGTTTACTGGACTGTGATCGAAGAAGACCCGCTGCTCTGGTATCCCTCCGTAGCAAGGATCATGTAGTCGTGGGTACCCAAAGTCAGACCAGCTCTAGCCCAGGCATCGAAGTGGTTCTGGACGGTGATGCTGCCGCCGACACGGTGGTTCTCGCGGACGGACCAGTACTGGTCGAAGGTTGAGGTGCCCTCAATGGAAGGCGCGTTTACACGAGTGGTTTTGTAAATTTTGTAGGTGCTGCCGTCGCTCTCAATGCTGCCGATCTGGGTGGCACCGCTGGAGGGGTCGTAGTCGCCGTAACTCTCGACGATGTAGTACTCGACGAGAGGGTTCTTGGTCCAGCCGTAGAGGGAGAGGTAGCCGTTGCCGCTGGGGTTGAAGTTGCCGCTGTAGGTGATGGTCCTATACAGAATCGCGGTTAGTTTCGTTCCACTTTATGGATTGCAGGCCCATGAGCGAATGTACTTGGCATTGCCGGGATTCCAGCCTTTTCCAGCGACAAAGTTGCCGCAATTCTTCCACTCGACGCTATACTGGCCGCCGTTGCCGTTCTTGTAGCTCACATCCCCACCGTTATCGGTCCAGAAGGAGTAGTAGTAGCCGTTGTTGGTGCCAGTCTCAGAGCTGGTGATAGCGCGCTTCGCAAGCTGGACAAGAGCGGAGTTAACGCCGGGGGCAGCGAAGGCAGAGATGGCGGAGAGGGCGAAGAAGAAAAAATAGAATGCAACCATTTTGTTTGCTTTCAAGGTTGTCATTGCAAGCTCCAACTTGATAGATGATCGCTGGCGTTGTTGTAGTCCTCAATCGACGGAAACCAAATCCCCTTTATACCTGCCCGACTAGCTTCCATATCTATTGGAAACAGCCTAAATGCCTGAAAAGGGAATTTATTGTTTCATGACCGCAAAAACTGTCGCCGGGTTAGCTTCTGACTTCTAATCAAAATTGCCAGACGGGTCGAACGTTTCATGTCAACGATCGACACCCACATTTTGCCGGCTGGAACGACAGCCTAATGGGTGTTTTCGACTCGCAATGGCCCTGTTTTACCCCTCTCCTTAATAGGTATTACTGTGCTATAGGGGCAGGGTTTAGAATACCATGTGGATAGGACCTATCAGACTATGTTAAACTTAGCCTATAACGAAGGTCCCTGGTGCTAGTTTTTCAGGTCCACTTTCCGACAACGAGCTCTCGGATGGACTTGCATTGAGTAGCTTGTCGACTGCCGGAAGCCGAGACTAGAGGGTCAAAAGTGTAGCACTACAAAACGTGCTTTGCTTTATATTTGAGTCGGTGTTATTTGCTGCTGGACTCCTGACCATGCGGGTTATATAGGCTAATACTTTGGAGTGCGATCTTTCTAACTACTGTAAAACCTCGTTATAACGAGCCCCGCTACAACGAGATCCCCGCTATAACGAGGCGACCATGTTGCCTGAATTAATTTCTCCATATAAATAACGAGAAACCCCGCTACTACGAGTCTCGTTAGCTTCCTCCAGTTCTCCCATGCAAATCTCGTTAACGTAATCCACGGCCATGTGACGAACACGGCCGAGTGACGAATTTTCGCCTCGCCCACCAACGACGTGTTGAGATTCTTCATCTTTTTTCTACCATATCCTTCAAAATGCCTTTATCCCAAGAAAATCGCATGCAAATGGCTATTTCTGCATATAAAAACAAAAAAATCAAATCAATATTGAGAGCTGCTGAGATATTTGGTGTATCTGAGGCTACTCTTCGTCGTTGACTTAAAGGAAAGAAACCACGCGCAGAAACACGTGCCAGTGGTCATAAATTGACAGCTCTTGAAGAGGAAGTCCTTGTAAAGAGTCTGCTTGATGCAGATAAACGAGGCTTTTCAATTCGGCCTGAATACCTACATGGAATGGCGCAGATTTTACTTCGTGATCAAACACAAAATTCAACTGCAACCCTTGGAGTTAACTGGGCATATTCCTTTACCAGACGCCGTCCTGAATTACGTACAAGATATAATCGAAGAATTACATACCAGCGGGCAAAACAGGAAGATCCAAAAGTCATTAGACAGTGGTTTGAAACTGTACACAAAGCCATTGAGGAACATGGTATCCATGAGGATGACATCTGGAACTTTGATGAAACTGGCTTTGCGATGGGACTCTGTACAACATCTAAGGTGATTACTGCAGTGGAATGCAGTGAGAGACCTCGTACAGTTATCCAGGGGAATTGAGAATGGGTTACAATTAGACCTGGCTTTGGGCCGGGTTTGGGCCGAGTTTCAGGCCCATGGCCCGGCCCACAAGGCCCATGGACGGGCCGGGGGTCAGGTCAGCCCACCCATGGGCCAATGGGCCGGCCCATGGGCGGCCCACGAAATGCCCATTTGGCTCCCAAATTGCATAAAACTAATGCATAACTTGCTTACTTAGCTCGATAAAATACCATCGTTTTGTATACCATCTCTTAACTATGCTATTAATACCAAATTTACAAATGCCTTTTGATTGCAGAGATATATATTCATTGTATACAGTACTCATGTATTTCACCTAGCAAGACAGTACCTTAAATATTTCCATCATATTACTATTTTCGTATATAAATCTAAGAGTTTAATACGGTCTGATTATACTAAATCGTTATAACTACTTTATATAAGCATACAGTATAAAAAAAGTGGCTTGATTGATATATATGAGCTGATCGCAGAGGTGAAAAAAAAAAAGTTCAGATGGGGTTTTCAGCAGGGGGATGGCCTTACCCCCTGAATTTTGGGCCAATGGGCCGGCCCATGGGCCAGTCCATAGACCCATTGGATATTGTCCAATAAGGAGGCTTTTAGACCAGCTAATCTGAAGTCACATGTTTAGCTTTTAGTGCTGCTTGCATTTAGTTATACCTCATGCAATCTCATAAGTTAGTTGAAGCAATGGGAGACTCTGATACAGAGGCGTCAACAGGCACCTCTCCCGGCCAGGGAAGACCACGAAGGAATGTGAGCCGACCAGCGCACCTCAGCGAAGAACAGGCGCACGACGCGTCCCTCAGCGGAAAAAGAACCAGAAAAACAAACCCAACAAAGCAGATCAACAACCAAGACAACGAGACAAGATCAAATTCCTCCAGCTCTACCAGATTTTTGCATCTGGTTTTAGAAAAGCTGGATGATCAGGCGACCGCGATCCAGCACCTCCAACAGCATGCTGAGAGGAGGGAGCAGGAACACCAAAATCAAATCGCGTTAATGCAAGAACAAATCAAGGCACTCACTGGGACCATCAAGTCAACACAAGCCAACTACAATGATGAACTCAAGAAAATGGTTGGCGAAATCCAGACAGCAATTTCAGGATCGCAGCTGGCTACTCCTCCAGTTCAATCACCGAGCACAGGCAGAAGTTGGGCGTCTGTGGTGACCCCATCTTCAGCAATCTCTCCAGCAACCCAGATGGCAAGAACAGCACTAGGTCTTCCAAGCATCAAGATCAACTTACGGACAGCTACAATGGAAACAAAACAACTCCTGACCGACCCAACCTTAACCAAAACAACCATTAACAATGAACTGAGCAAAGATCAAAACACCAAACAGGTTCAGGTTGAAGGAGTGAAATCTACTCCCAGGAACTCACTTAAAGTTTTTGTGAACAGCGAGGAAGACGCCAGGGTTCTCCAGCAGAACCAGGCCTGGTTAGAAAAACTGCAGGGGGCAAGGCTTGGACAAGAACCGTGGTACCCAATCAAAATAGATGATGTCAGGAAGATCGATGTCTTTGAGAATGGGGAACTGCGAGAAGATTTTAAGGACATGTTCCAACAAGAAAACAAAGCCCAGGCCCAGAGGATATCCTGGCTTAGTGGCCCAAAACCATACGGATCCATGATAGCATATCTCTCTAAGGCAAGTGACGCCTCACGGCTACTCCACCACAAAATGGTCCAGATTAGGGGTGAAGTATCATTCACATCTGAATATCAATACCAACAAAGACCAATGAGATGTCGTAACTGCCAGAAGTACGGCCATAAAGAGGCTAGATGTAAAAATCAAACAGTTTGCAGGAGATGTGCTGGATCCCACAAGGTCATTGAATGCACAGTTGCAGAGAGAAAATGCGGAGCATGTGGAGGAGGTCATGAGGCATCATATTCAGGTTGCAGTCAATGGAAAGATGAGATAACGAAGCTCAGAAATCGAAATGGAGCCCAAGTTCATGGCAGGAATCCTGGCATGACCATCTCTAACCCCAATTAATGTTTCAAGTGATACAGGCAAACCTCAGGAAAGGACCAGAGACCCAGCTCAGCCTTCTGAATGACAGTACCCTGGCGAATAACAACCTATTAATGATAACGGAACCCTGCATTTATGAGATTGATGGAGAACGATTTACCCATACTCACAACAAATGGCAACCAATCCTTCCACCAGAAGTCAAAGATGAGAATAACAAGAAGACGGCAACTCGCAGTATGATCTGGGTGAAAAAGGATCGAGGGTTGGCCCAAGAGGTGGACACAGGTTCATCAGATATAACAGCAGTCGTACTACCAGTGAACAATCGACACCTGGTGGCTATATCAGTCTACGTCCCACCTGAATTAGGTCCAAGAGGATACACGAGACTGCAAAAAACAACCCAGGAGATAAAGAAGATATGCAAGAGCCAACAAGAGAAACACGAAGAGAAACTAGATGTCCTCATTACAGGAGACTTCAATCGACATGACCCTATGTGGGGAGGTGACCATATCGCGAACTCGCGCCGGCTGGGAGAAGCACAGCCACTGCTGGAACTAATGATAGAACTCGGACTACAAAGCCTGCTTCCCCGGGGTACCATAACATATGAATCAGGCCCTTGGAAGTCAACAATTGACCTCACATTGGCCTCAGAATCCCTTGCAAGGAGAAAGATACACTGTCACACCCACCAAAATGAGCATGGATCAGATCACCAAGCAATTGAAACAGTCTTTGCAACTGATACATCCAGCAGACTAGAGTCTCAAACAGTTCTACCAAGGTACCTTTTTCAACATGCCCCCTGGGACAAGATTCGACATGATCTAGAACAGAATGAGTGGACATACAAGGAGATAAAAGAACCAGACTCCCTGGAACATCACCTCCAAACTCTGATGGAACGGGTAACCAGAGTGATCACAGAGAATACTCCGAAAGCAAGACCTTCCCCTTATTGCAAGAAATGGTGGACCGCGGAGCTTTCTAGTTTGCAAAAAGAATACTCAGCAGTCAAGAACCAATGCACAAGGTTCAGCCAATATGAGGTCCCTCATCCAGATCTGGCAGAAGCAGTACGCGTACTTCGCCAGAGATATCACACTGCAATCAGAGATCAAAAGCGACAACATTGGAGGAAGTTCCTGGAGGATGCAGATAATATCTGGCAAGCAGCAAAATATGCAAGAGATAACAAAGCAAGCCTCAATACAATACCAACACTACAAGCAAGAAACACAGTGGTGGAAACAGATCAAGACAAAGCTAAACTTCTCTTAAAAGCTTTTTTCCCACCACTTCCTCCAATTCAACATGAGAGACCAGCGGAATTCCCACCATCACTTACCTTGGAACCTATATCAGACAGGGAAGTAGAAGATGCAACAATGAGGATGAACAAATGGAAGGCCCCTGGGCAAGACCAACTGCCAGTAGGGGTGTGGCAAATGCTCTGGCCTGTGGTTGGAAAGACGATCTGCCACCTCTTGCGGGCATCAATCAGATTAAGCTACATTCCTAGACAATGGAAAGTAGCAAAGATCATCCCACTGAGGAAGCCAGACAGGGACCACACCCTACCTAATTCATACCGACCAATTTCTTTGCTGTCCACCTTAGGTAAAATACTGGAGGCCACCATTGCCACAAGAATATCCTACCTGGTGGAGAAATACAACCTGCTACCCGAAAACCATTTTGGAGCAAGGAGACGGAGATCCAGTGAACAAGCACTCAACATCCTCATGGAGAAGATATATGAGGCATGGAGAGAGAGGAAGGTGCTCAGTTTGGTCAGTTTTGATGTTAAGGGGGCATATAACGGCGTGGCCAAAGAAGTCTTAATCCAGAGATTGCGAGAGAGAAGGATCCCAGCGGAACTGGTACAATGGGTTGATGCCTTCTGTTCAAACCGAAAGGCAGTGATTGTAGTCAATCAACACTGCTCAGAGGAAATGGAGATCACATTCCCGGGGCTCCCACAGGGTTCACCGCTATCACCAATCCTTTACCTCTTCTTTAATGCCGGATTAGTGGATACCAAGATCACTCAAAACAAAGGTGCAATTGCCTTTGTTGATGACTTTACGCACTGGGTGGTTGGATCATCAGCAGAAGAGAATACAAGAAGAATCCAGAAGCAAGTCATACCCAAAGCACTACAATGGGCTGCCCAGTCTGGAGCCACATTTGAGGCCCAAAAAACTAGCTTCATCCACTTCACCAAGCGAAAAACACAACGACAGCTGCCAGCCCTTCCCCTAAAGATCAAGCAACAGGAGGTTGGCCCCAGCACAACAACTAAGATCCTAGGAGTTGTCCTAGACCAGGAACTTCGATTTAAGGATCATGTTGGAAGAGTCACCAAAAGGGGTATCAAGGCAGTGCAAGCCCTAGCCAGACTGAGAGGACTGACCACTCATACTGCACGACAACTATATGAGGCATTGGTGGTTCCAGCAATCACTTATGCGGCTTCAGTTTGGACATCCATCAATAAGAACACCGAAATCTCGTATTGGATCACAAAACCATTGGATATAGTCCAGAGAACAGCAGCGCGAACCATCACTGGACTCTTCAAAACTGTGTCAATCCCCATAGCAGAAGCTGAAGCCGGGATTGACCCACTGGATATCCAAGTTAGGAGACGGGTTATCAAACACTGGATTAGCTGTCATACACTTCCACATAATCATCCATTCTGGCAATGCAGAAGGGCAGCTATAAACCAGAATGGGAAACATCAATCCCTGTTCACCACCATGGCCAGAATCTGTCCCATCAACTTGGAGGCTATGGAAATGATCCAGCCTTTTGCAGTCAGCCCTTACATGCCAAGTATAGAGGATTTCATTAACTTAGGAGAAGCCACTGAACTGGAGCATGAACAACATATGAGCCTTCGACCCCAGATTGACATCTATACCCACAGTTCAGGGCGCAACAGACTCCTTGGTATAGGGGTTGTGGCAACAGCTCGGGACCAGGTAATTAAGTCAGTTTCCAAAACCGTCGGCCATCATGATCAGATCAACATTTACTTCTCACAAATCGGCGCTCTGCTAGAGGCTCTTGTTATGGCGGTAGAGATACTAGACCGCCAACCAGTGTTAAGAAGAATAATGGGAATTACCATATACACCAGCAGTCAATCAGCCTTAAAATCAATCC